GATGTATTTATGTTATGTTATTTATTTTTTCCCCTTCTTTTTGTCTTTTCTCCCCCCCCCTTTCTTTTTTCTAGCGATTGATTTTAGTAAGTTCCGCAAAATAATTGGTAAACAGAGCAAAACCCTACGCTAATTTGGCAATCATTTTGAAAATCTAGCAAAAATTTTAGCCATAATAGCATAAACTAGCAATGTTAATTTCGCAAAAGTATAGTTTGCCATTTTCGCACAATAAAATTACCACTTTTGAAAATTGTTTTGTCGTTCTCGCCACGAGGGTGGGCATTTTAGCAAAAAAAGCAAATTGCAGAAATCGCAAACCATTTTTTGCCATTTTAGCAATTAATTTTTAAATATTACAAAAATATTTATAAAATATTTTTAACATAATATTAAACAAATATTTTTAAACTAATATTTCTAAAATAATTTTAAAATATTTTGTAAATATATTTTACAAACTGTTTTAAAAGTAATTACATAAATATATTTTGTAAATATATTTAAAACATTTTTATAAATATATTGTTACAATATTGTCATGAAATATTTTAGCAATATTGTCAACATATTTCTGCAGTGCATTTAAGGAAATATTTACATAACAATATTGTTTCAATATTGACAATATTGCTGCAATATTGCTGCAATATTTCGTGTTGGGCGGGAGCTTGAGAGCTTCAATCAACAGTCAAATCGCAAATTCCTCATGCATGCAACATCTCCATTCGGAAACTTTAAACGCTTATAACTCCGTTTATACAAAACTCTGAGGTCTTAAAAGTGGTACCATTGGTTTTCTCGTGAAATTCTCTTCTAGCAACACCCCTTTACATTTCAAATGTTTCGAATGAAATATCAAAATTTGCAGTTTTAGTCAATAATGTTGTATCCGACCTCTCTAATTGACTCGACCCACTGTGCGCCACGTTCTGGTCGAAGATAGGGATCTAGATTCCTAGTCGACAAGTTCTGAGCCCGGTGTGCGCCGAGCTTCGGTCACTTTTTCGATACATTTTCGATCTAAAATGGCGATGTAGAATACGTAGCAATTCCTATCCTCTTTGGTTACATCAGGTAACTGGGTCCTCGTGTATCGAAAACAATCGATTATGTATCTAAAAAGTGACCTGGCGTGGCAAGAGCCTCGGAATTCGGGACCTGGAAAATGTTTTTTTTTAAAGGCACGGATGGAAGCAGAATATAGTGCCAAGATACGACAACCATGGGACTATCCCAGGGTGGAAGGGACCGATTTGTAGGCTTTCGATTGTCCCTGCTGATTTAAAATCCGGTGTTTTCACAGTCCATCCACGCTCCGCAGATTCCAACAGGATCTTGCATGGATCAACGGAGAATAATATCCAGGAAATAGAAAACTGTAATGTTATTGTAGGTCAGGAAGGTGACCCTTTGTGGTCATTGACACGAAGGGGTCAAAACGATCGGTGAATACTGGGTCGGAGGCAGTGGCGTGGCGAGTTTCGCGATATATCGATTGATCTGCCATTTAAACCTATAGAAAAGGATTCATAACGAGGTGTTCGCAACGAATACTTTAATAATCGATTCTTTACTATAAGTTCAAATGGGAAAATATAGATAGGCGATCATTCACGCCTCGCCATTGGTCGGAGGCACGAGTTGGATTGTCCTTCCTCCTCGATATCTACTGGGAAAAATGGTGCTAAAAATGTATTTTCTAATAAGAAAAAAAGTTTAATAATGTCTTTCCGTAGAAATAGACGCTCTCGTCCATATGAACGCAAAATTAAGCTATTGATTTTAGAACAAACATAAATGTTCAGTGATTTTCGGCACAAAAAACATTCCAAAATTTCAAACCAAAGCGGAATAATGACAGTTTAAAATTTCCAATTTGAAAAAACGGAGTTTTTTTTCAAGGAGAGTGCTCAAATTCGTTATCTGCCATGCTCGAAGCATAAAATTGCCGGCTTAAAATGTGCATGCACGCTCTTCATTGGCACAAAATTAAACTAAGACATTTGAAATATTTCATTTTTTCATATGACACTCTCAGACAGCGCCTCAAAACCTTAATTTGGATTCAACTAAAATCGCTCTACTGAAAAGTTTTTTGCTGTAAGCAATGGTTTCTTTTCCCGATGAGAGGGTCACGGGATTGTAATTTACAAATTTCCTGATTAATCACTACTGATGTAAGAAATTATTAAAAGAAAACATTTACATTAAATCAAACCGGCAACTTATATTCAGCGCAACTGTGACAAGGAAGTCTGCGAGTTTCAGTATACCGCCAATATTATTTTGCACATAAATTATCCTCATAATCAGAGGTACGTGTCGTATCGTGTTGACAAATGTTGAATCGAAGAAAGCATTGTATGAACCTCCTTTAATACCTGAGACTCCTACGAGAACTCGTTGATCTTAGCAACAGCAGGATGCAAATTAATCAACGCGTAGGATCCATTTTTGCCTATCTCTCTCAATTGAAGGCGAATCACGCGCCTTAAAGCGTGCCTCGCATCCTGGCGAATTTTTCGCCCTCTTTTCTATCGATTATGAGACAACCAGACCTCTCGTCGTAGAAATGACCTACATTTCGCAACTAGGAACTTTAATTTCGTTAATTAACATGCGGCTGATTTCCATGAAGTTGGTTTCCATGCCATGTGCGCATGGAAACTTTTCCGTCCCAATTTTCCATGCGGCTGATTTCCATGCAAATTTCGCATGGAACATTTTTACCAGGGCCTGGAAGGACGAACGAAAATACAGAGTGTCCTAGGATTAAGTACGAATATTGAAGGAGTCTTTTCTTTGGGTCAAAAAAAGACATTTTCGTGCTCATTCCATGTGACGCTCGCACATTTCCCGCGTATTTTGTTCAATTTTTGTATTTATTCTTGTGTTAGAAGTGCAGCTTATTCCACCATGTCTGAAGATAAGAGGAAACCATTTACTGCATGTGTTTGTGGAAGGAAACATCGGTAGCGGAAAAACCACTTTTCTGAAATACTTCGAAAAATGCCTGAATACGTAGGTACATAGCGGCAGAACCTGTGGAGTAATGGAGGGATCTGAAAGGACACAACCTATTGGTACCATTCATGAGTTCCGCTTTATGCTTATCTTGTCAATCCATTCAGCTAATTCCAGTGACTCACATAGTTCAGTCATACATTTATGATGGTCTCATGTTCTCACTGAAGCCCATGAGTCCGTAGTACTGTAAAAGTGAGTCCAGATGTTCACATTATTATGAGTATCTTGTAATGGGCCTGTTGCAAACTTTTGCTAGAGCAGAATGAAGAGTTGTTTCCCATAGATAATGCCTCAAAAATCACGATGAGCGCATCGGCAAAGTCTGAAATGCACTCATAACTTCACAATCTGCGTAAGAAATTTGCGTTATTTTGAGCTTCCCGCTTCAAAAACGATACTACTGCACAGGTGAACATTTTGTTAGAGGAGTCGCTCCATCGTCGGCAATATTCATCATGGCCGACGCTTGCGCAGTTCCTCGCGTAATTCGAGGAGAGTTCAAGGTCAATTAAGGCGGGCGAGGAAAATATGAACGTAAACACGCCAATTGTTATATGGTTTAATCCTGTTCAAGTGTTATCTCGTCCCATCACACGTGTTTTGGCGGACTGGCGTCGGCCATGATGAGTATTGTCGCCAATGGAACGAATCCTCTAACAAAATGTTCACCTGTACCGTAGTATCGTTTTCGAAGCGGGAAGCTCAAAAAACCGCAAATTTCTTACGCAGATTGTGAAGTTATGAGTGCATTTCAGACTTTGCCGATGCGCTCATCGTGATTTTTGAGGCATTATCTGTAGGAAACAACTCTTAGTTTTGCTCTAGCAAAAGTTTGCAACAGGCCCATTGTGTCTGTTTCTCTTTTCCAGATATAAATGTATAGGGATACCCCTATATAAAATTTAAGGAGGCGTGTTAGAATATCAGCATTATCAACAAGTAAATCGGTCTCACTCTCATTAACCTTAATTACTTGATCGACAAGACAACAGAAACTCTCTATTGAAACGCTTGTACCTTTCTTTCTTGTATTCTCTGAGTGTTCTTCCTGTGTGGATGATGAAGGAATAAGTCGTGTAGTAAAAATCTAAATCTCTTTATTTAAGAACCGATCCTTAGAAATCTTAACAGTTAGAAGTGCAGCTTATTCCACCATGTCTGAAGATAAGAGGAAACCATTTACTGTGTTTGTGGAAGGAAACATCGGTAGCGGGAAAACCACTTTTCTGAAATATTTCGAAAAATGCCCGAATACGTAGGTTCATAGTGGCAGAACCTGTGGAGCAATGGAGGGATCTGAAAGGACACAACCTGTTGGTACCATTCATGAGTTCCGCTTTCATGCTTGTCTTGTCAATCCATTTAGCGAATTCTAGTGACTCAAATCGTTCAGTCATATTAATTTTATTTTATTAGTTTTAACTTATTTTATTATTTTTTCTTTATTTTATTTTATTAGTTTTAAATTATTTTATTGGTTTTAATTTATTTTATTTTATTACCCTTGTAGGAACGGTTTGTGAAAAGCTTGTAAAAAAATTTAAAAAAAACTTTTGAAATGAAGATGCACAACACATACTTACCGAACTCGTAAAAAACTCATGAAAAAAAGATCCCAGTTGACAAATTTGGAATCATTCTTGGAATTTTACACGTAAAACACTTGTGAAACACCCGTCTAGTAAAAATAAATTTCAATGGCAGTACTATATTTTTGGCGCGTATACGTAGTATACCGCCTTTGCGATCGTTTCGACCCCCAACTCGATGCAATAACCGAGTCCCTTAGTTCCTTACCGAAAAGTGACTACCGCGAACTTCTGAGATTTTCCAAATTTCAAATTACGCTGAATTTGACACTTGCCGCTTTCGTCGCTATCACGGTAGTGTGGGTTAATCTGGTATGGAATAAGAATTTAGCATTTGCGGATATTCAATGCACAACATTCGGGAAAACTGAGTGAAATTACCTGGAATCCCAGCGTGAATGAAACGCACGCTGGTGGTTTCTCGTTGACATTGTAGATGAGCTTTCTGGAGTGCTCTGAATTCATTTCGAGGCGTGTCAGAGTAGCAAAACGACCTGAGCATCCTCTTCACCAATTGAACTAAAAGCTTCCGAATCTCCTCAGCTAGTCACCGCACGTGCAGACAGTCGCCGCCTGGAACATATAGGCAACGAATTTAAGGACTAATTTTGAAGAGAGTACTTTTATAGTGAGGGGGTGATCACTGAAGGAACCATAACTGACTGGCTCCAGATATTTTAGTCTTCACATAGAGCTCTTAAACAAAGAAGAGTTTAAAAAAAAAAACCGGCGCTCCGCTTCGCTCCGCGCCGGTTTTTTGGGGGGGCTTCGCCCACCAAGCCCCTCCAGGACGCGCGCTTCGCGCTCGCTTTTTAGTTTGAGTGTCCATTCCAGTTGTTCTGTCTTCTTAAGCGACCCGCGCGTCCACCGCGGGAAGAGTGTATTTTCCGAAGGGGGGGGGGATCAATCTGTAAGGGAATGAATTAAGAATTGAAACAGAAGTTGAGTTGTGAGCAGGTGAGTACGTTGTGAGCAAGAAGTTGCGTACCTTGTCGCGAGAGTGCGCGGCGAGCGGGAATCCCACTACTGCGCTGATTGACCAGAGGCGAGAGTTGCGGACGGACGATGTACGAGAAATTGCCTACGTGGAGGCGGTCCGGCAGCAACATACCCACCGGCAGTCACCAGAAAGCAATAGCACAAAATAGTAGTTGCGTACGTTGCCAGCGAACGCGCTGCGAAAGGTTGTGACGGTTAAATGGTGAGATTTTGTTCAAGAACAGATCATTTAACCTGACCCACTGTGCGACGAACAATTTGTCCAGAATCTTCCTTCCCCTGACCCACTGTGCGACGAAAAGTTTGTCCAAAAACTTCTCTCCCCTGACCCACTGTGCGACGATCAGCTTGTCCAAAAACTTTCTCCCCCGACCCACTGTGCGGCCCTGCTCCGGCCGGCTCCCCTCATGCCGCGCACCCCTCGCCTAAAACTTTCAAAGCTCGCCATTTTTAAACGGCTCGGCCGATTTAGCTCAAATTCAATACCAAACCAGTCCTAGGGGAGAACTACCGCCCGTAAAAATTTCAGCTCAAAATATTCATTTTCGCTCGAGTTATCGAGTGGACAAGATTTGACCTCCCCCCACTTTTGAGCCCCACCCCTCAAAATCTTTTGCCTCAAATTTCAATTTTTTTTCGCAGAATAGTAGTTCTAATGAGTCTCTACTAAATGCAAAAAAATTGGTCAAAATATCTTTCAACGTAAGAAAGATATAACTACTCAAAAATCGAAAAATCCTAAAAGGGCGGAAATAGCTATATTTACTAAGTTTCACTTAGCATTTAATCAGTTTTTAAACCAATTTTAAGCAGTACCCTCGTAAAAACCTAGATTCCTAGACAAGGTTGGCAAAAAGAAGCTTTTATAGATGAGTCAAAAACAGTGGTTCCCTGTTGAGGAACGACGAAACCCAATTGGACTGAGTTAAGCAGAAAGGAAGCAACCCACATTTTGGAAAAAATCGAGTTATGCGTGGTTTTGAACTCAACCACTGCTCTACTGTCTATCGCCAAAAATTCAAAGTTTTTGTTGGAGCAAATTTTGCAGAAATTGGACTTGAAGTTTATCTTTTACACTGAGTCTTATGCAGGAGCCAAACTTTAAACCTCTTTTTCTTGGTTCGATCCCGATGTAGCTTGTTTCCTTTCTGTTTAACTCCGTCCGATTTATAATCGTTCCAAAATATGAATACTTTTTGCAACAGAAATACTACTTCTGGCTCACCATAATAGCCGCACCGGAAAATAATAGGACCTTATAAATTCTTTAAATCAAGCCAAATACAGAGTTTTCTTGCAAAATGAAGTCTGATTTTTGATGGGTCCACTTTGTTCTATACACAACTGTTGATGGGGAAATATGCATTGCAAAGCTGGAGTTCTAACCCTTGTCAAAGGTCCATTCAATGAGACAGAGACATGATGCGGGAGATGTCTCATGCTTGAACTCAACACAAGTGGGAAGATGAAGGAGCGAAAAAAACTTTGCACTCGGACGATAGAGCAGCTTGAGTGGAACTGAGAGAGGAGAGGGACCAAAATTGAGAAACGGAGGGGGGAGGGGGCGGATATCTTAATCATTGTTTTATTGGTATCATTCAAAAAAAGATTAAACAAAAACGCCATCGGCATTATCACTTACTTGCTGTCAGATTTAGCATACTATTTTTGTACGTTATTATGATATGTATCAGGGCCGGATTTACCTACTTGCCGCCTATGGGCCGCCTGTATTTTGCCGCTCCCTTCTTATTTCTTATTCGTTTTGAAACATCAATAAAAACCATCAAATGAACGTGCCAGCGGGGGAGGAGTGCATAAGGCGCGTTTACTCGTGTTGGACACATTTTTTGCGAAAGCCCTGTCAACACTACCAGCAAAAGTTCACGGAACTTTGTGCGAAAGTTAAGTTTCGTAAACCTATCTCTGTATGGACAAGGCCTTCCATTCATAAGAAATGAACGAAACAATTATGAAAGAACAAATATAAATGTGGATTAATGATTTTAACTTCTATCGCCGCACCGCGCTGATCGCACCGTGTTTGGCGCAATGCGTGAAGTATACCGACAGTTTTGTAGGCGCTGTGAGTTTCACGCCGACCGCTGCTGAACGCACTTTATTTGACGCAATGCGTGAAGTATTCACGCAGTCTTGTAGGCGCTATCCGTTTTTCGCTGATCGCAACGACCGCAGTCCGTTTGATGCAATGCGTGAAGTATTCGTGCAGTCTTGTAGGCGCTAATATGTGTTACATGCCGATCGCCGCGCCGAGGGCTTCTCATTTTCATCTCAAGTCCTCGTCATCATTTATGTCTCTACGTCGCGCCGTCCCGAGCCAAATTGCGTGTTTTAACTATTTGGTTTCTCTCTTAACTTGAATAATTAAAGGTGCTGTCTCTTGTATCTCTGAAAGACGACCAAATTGGAAATTATTATACTCTCAGGAAATGAGAGATTTTGTCGCCTTCACTCGTTTGTAATTTTTTTTCTAAATCCGATTTTTTTAAAACCTACATTTGGAAAAATTTCAAAATTTGCCGTCCCCTATAGACTTGCCGCCATGGACCGCGGCCCATGTGGCCACCCCCTTAATCCGGCCCTGATACGTATGTTATTTATTGAGATTTCAAGTTTTCACTCTTTCAGTAAACGGCATGATTTTTATATGAAAGTTTGGCAGCCTAGATGTTCAGGAGCAATACGATTTTGAACTTAATGTAGCATACATTGAATTTTTGCTGGTAGAACGAGAAGGGATTGTGAAATTAGGAGCGTGAAAGAAAAACGAAGGAATATCAAAAGAAAGGTAATGAAGAACAGAGAAGAAGAAATAAAACAAATAAAAGAAAAGCACAAAATGAGATGAGCGAAAAAGAGTTAAACAATAATGAGTGGACGAGGACAAACAAGGAAGACATAGAAAAAAGAAAGGAAGAGAAAAGGGAAGAGAAGAGGGAGAAATACGAGAACCAGAATCGACGGGATGGGATGCGGAGGACAAAGGAAGTAGTGATAGTACAATTATTTTACTCCGACAGGTGTCCCAGCTGCAAAGGCAAATCGCACGTAGAATGAGAGATAATCTGACAAGAGTGAAGTACATACAGGGTCCAAGTAAGTAAGATGGTAAGTGAAATGACGAAAAAAATAGATACAAATAAAGGTTTAAAGGGTAATTCTGTCCAAGTTCTAACATTAGAGAGATGAAGTTGAAAATGAGGAAGAAAATAGGAAGGATGAGAAAACCAGTTTTACAAAAAGTAGAAAAAAGAAGAGAGGAGATGGGCAAGAGGAGGAGAAGAAGATTAAGAGGAAAATAAGATAAAATGGGAAAGAACTAACAGGAACTATCTCAAAATATGTCTCGAGGGTTTTTTATTGTCAGCGAGACGATGTGTTTAGAACAAGTCGGCAACATGCTAGCTGTGATCATCAATACGCCTAATTTGATGCCTTTGGCATTAGTTCAGACGATGGTGACGACTGCACCCCTCTCGTCCCCCTAATAACCCTTCGCCCCCCCCCCCCCCATGCCTCCAGGCGTTCAACTGGACCTTGAATGATTTTATTGTTCCGAAGGAACCGACCGGGAGACAACTTGTCGGATCAAAACAAACAACGGGATGAAATGAAAGTTCATAAATGGGATGAGGGAGGGGCTCTAGCGGGTGAAAGACAGTCGATCTATCGATTGATCTGCCGTTTAAACCTATGGTGAAGGATCGCTAAACAGGTTGTTCGCAACGAGCACTTTAATAATCGATTCTTCACCACAGCTTCAAACGGAGGAACATCGATAATCGACCACTCACGCCTCGCTTTGGTGAAAGAATGAAGTGCTAATAAAATCTATGAAACGTGCGTGAAGAATTTTTTCGGTTCATGCGTATTTTGACGGTTGAGTTGAAAACTGTGCGCTCGCAATTAGACATTTAAAAATCTCAGCTCATGATAATTCACGATCGACCGGAGCTTATGAGCGTCGGAAAGGGTACTTACTTTTGCGCCCCCCCTCCACCCAGCCTTCAAAAATTTGTGACCACGCCCGTTAGCGCAATGTCATTAAACCTTATATGGTGACCCTCTAAAAAATGGACGTATTTCTATCAAACGGAACTATCTGCGTTATGACGTGAGCCTTTATATGCACATATTCTTATGGGTCTCAGGGCTCATGTCTTACGCGCATGGATTAAATGTGTGCATATAGGGACCGTCCTTTTAAAAACTAGAAATTCCTACGAGAGGAAATATAGAAACATTTAAGCAGATACGTATTCAAATCCAAAGGAAAAATGAAGGCATAGGAGCGGATAATGCGGTAAATTAGGAAAAAACACACACACAACCAAGCAACCCTCTAATACAAAAAATGTCACTATTCTTTAGATTCCAATATCAAACCGAGCTGGCCAAGAATGTTCATAAATGAGCGTTTTGTCGCAAAACTGAGTAAATTCGTGCAAAAAACCAAGTCAAATGCGTGCTTTACAGACGACGGTTCGTAACAAGTGTAATTATAAATCGCTTTGAATAATTTGAATACATAGGCTGGCTGCCCTTTAGGGCCCTGAAAGCTCCAAAATCAAACCTCAGAATTACCAACTTGTCCGCTCCCTATATTGTCACCTTCCGGCCCAAGTATCCCAAGCGCCATGCGACGTTTCGAAATTTCTGCCGCAATTTTCTTTTTTTACAGAGAAATTGTTCGTTGAATCCGTTTGAGAATTTCACCGAATTTCAGCGGCAGCACAAAGAAAATTCAGTGAAATTTTCGGACAGCTTCGTTGAACAATGGAGATGTTGCATGTGTCAGGAATTTGCTATTTGACTATTGATTCTTATGTTAAAGTTCACGAGAAACACGATGGTGCCACTGGTTTTCTCTGAAATCAACTCCCAAGCTCAAAAAAAGCTCTCAAGTTGAGGGCGTAATGGAGGGTATATACCACGCTACCATGGGAGTCCACCTCTTCATCAAGACAAACTCTCCATGCAAAGATAGGGAGCAAATACATTGACAGGGCTGCCACTTTATTTGGGGACTCCAAAACTGAAAACACGGCAACCCTGCTAATGTATTCGCTCCCTATCTGTGCATGGAGAGTTTGTTTTGATGTAGACGTGGACTCTCATGGTAGCGTGGTATATCCCCTCCATTTTGACCTTAACTTGAGAGCTTTTTTTGAGCTTGGGAGTTGATTTCAGAGAAAACCAGTGGCGCCATCGTGTTTCTCCAATACCTTCTCGACCATACCTGGTCACGCCCAGATTGAGGTTATGTCGTTAGTAAATCGATGAAACGCCTGTTTATCAATGGCAGTGTAATGGGAAATTGTGAGTTTTGACGTTAATTTACTATAGTACGGCCAATTTTCATCATTTTTTTTGTGTGTTGTGACTCCCCAAGTTCCCCCTGAAGATGTGAGCAGTTACAGTTGTGTTTAAACTCATTACAAGGAAAATATTGAAGATTTGGTTAGTACCTAATCTTCCGCTTCATGCAGATTGCTGCTACTAGGGTGGAAATAATTGATTTTCGTTCAAGTGGTGGAGTTTTCATCATAGGAAAGTGATTTTAAATCATCTTCTCTCATTATAGTTCTGTAATACAAAAATGCAGTCTCGAATTTCTGTCTCATATGCAACCATGAAGCCCATTCTGAGGTTTGTGCTCGCATTTTTCCTGTGGGATTTCATTACCTACCCAGTTCAAACTCACAGGAAGTTTTTCTGTATGATTGCTCTCTTTCCTAAGCAGATATGGCACTCTTTTGCAGTCAGACAAGTTCACCTCTTAAATTATTATCTTGTAAATGATTTCCTTTCTCATCCAATAAGTATTTAAGTACCTTCTGCTCGCCAAATCAGCTCGCTGTTGCAGTGCGAAAGCCCAAATTTTTGCTTTGACAATCAGTTTTGAATCTAGTGGTCTCTTGTCAGTCCAATTGCTCAAAACTGTTCATCAAAGTTGTTTTCATCACAGTGTTTCGACCTCCGACATGAATGCCAAGGATTGGTAATATCTTACCTTAATTTATACTCTTTCAATGCTATTTTTCCCAACACTATTGCTGTTTATCATGCACTTTAAAAAAAGTTTAGATAAACTCTACTAATTCCCAACCAAACGTTTGAGCATGGTATTTTGGTACATATAAACATAAAATTTAAAATCCCTATCAAACCAATGTCACAGTATGAAGGGTCGCTGCTTGTATAAAAATGCATGGCACAAAGCATATTATGAAAAATAAAAAAATACTCACATCAATGGAGGACATCCATAGAGGTCAAATTCATGCATCATGCAGTCTTCTGTGGTTCAAATAATTTTCCAAGAAGTAAGGCAAAGATGAGTGTTGATTGAAGCAAATGATTTGAGGGCAGAGGTTGAACAGAAACTGTGCTGAGAAATTTTGAAGATGCGTGCAAGTACATCAAATCCATGATCCATGCAGTCTTCTGCAGTTTCAATGATTTTCCAGAATGGAGGGGCAAGGTTGATGTAGATTGATTGAAGGAAATCATTTCAGGCAAAAAGTTGATCCGAAAGCATGCCAGGAAATACAATAAACTTAATATTGAGAAACGCAGGCAAGGCCTGTCAACTCACTCTTAATCGCTCTATGATCGAGGAAAATTATATCAGGCAAAAAGTTATTGAAAGTAATTGAATTTCTCACGTAAGCGAAAATTAATAGCATCAAAAGCAAGCAGAAAGTGAAAATTAGTAAGAAAAATTGTGAAGATTTTAACACCACAAAAAAAAACAATAAAAACACGCACACGCAAATATGAAAAAAATTCGGATATTTTAGCAAAATGCTAGGAATTTAACACTATATACAGTCAGTAAAATTTTAAGTTCCCAAGGAATTCAATGAATGGAATGGTATGGATTCAAAGAACGATTACTTAAGGGTTTTTAAATGTTTAAATGAAAAATTGTTTTTCTGTCTGCCAAATCACCTAGTTCTGCAAATAAGTATTTAGTCTTCTATTCCAAGTCGATGTGATGATGAGAGAACTTAGGTGATTGGGATTCATGGTAATACTTACTACTTACAAAGAGCCCTTGGAGCTCAATTTGGCAATTTTTCTGGCATTAACGTCCTTTACTTTTGCCTTAGAGTACTTACTCTTGCTTTCGGATGCCCTCATTGGTTCCTGTACTTCTTGATTTGCGTCTTCTGCTTTCTGCGAAGCACTCTCTTCTTTCTGCTTTGCTTTTTCTGCCTCTTTCTTTGCCTCCTCTGCTTTTTTTTTGGCTTCTTGCTTGGCTTCTTGCTTGCTTAGTTTTATAGCTATTTGGCGGGTCATATTTATATCATTGAGTGTCTTGGTATAATTATTTAAGAAGATATTTGCAAGGGTTGTCATAAATTTCTTGACAACCTTGTTTAAAGTCAAATTGCAGGAGTCAGTCTCGCATGAAAAAAGCGTGTCGTCCAGAGATTGCTCGCACAATTTCACTCCAAGCGTGGTGAAAGCTTTTCTTTGGTCATGCAGTTTCAAAAAAATTTCTTCGTACTTCTGAGAAATTAGTGCTTGGAAAAGTTTGAACGCATCCATACAAAGATGGAATGCGAAGTCAGAGGGTCGGTTTAAACCTCCACGATCCAAACCACTGAGGTACTCATAAGTCTCTTTGGCTCGCTCGATTTCCAAAGGTTCCTTTGATAATAAAGTCTCTTTGCACTCCTGGCAAATTTGCATTTCTTCACGCCTCAATTGTTGTAAGGTCTTAGTGGCAGCATAGCTGGCCAAACAAAGGAGTACTCTCCTGTCAGTCAGGGTGACAGTGATTGAATTCATTTCACTGAAAGCTCCTTCAAAAATGTCGACATCTTCGGCTTTTTCACCAAGTTTGCTAGCTGTTTCCTTGCATTCTTCGGCAAATGAGGTCAGTGAAAACTCTCCATTTTTGGAAGACTTAAGCTTCAATATACTGAGTAATTTCAACTTTCTTTCTGCCTCCAGAACTTGTTCGACAGTGACAAAATAGCTACAACCGGAGATTCGTCGGTAACCACCGAACCTTCCCTCTATATTGTCTGTTTGGAGTTTGCCTAGCAAGACTAATTCCCAGCCCAAATCTGTAAGGACATACTCACACAATTCAATTGTTGCCTTCACGGTGTGAAAAAAGGCAGCATGAGTCTGAGCTGAAAGTTTATTGGGACTACTGGCAAGGTCCCAAATTTCACCGTAAAGCAACAAGTCTCTTAAAAATTTAAGCTTCATGTCATTGCAATCTCTTACAGGCTCACACCACATATCGTTCAATCTTTTGCCTTTGGTTTCAACTTTAACATTGGAGATTTTCCACCATCTACCAAAGATTTGTATGAACATGATTGTTCCGTCTGACACTGCCACTTTGTCCTTCTTCAAAGTTTGTAATGCTACCCTTGTCGAGTCACTGAAGACAGCATTAACCAGTGAAACGTTCTGTCTTTCCACTGAAGACGGATAAACAGCTTTTCTTGTTAACTTTGAGCCAAGTTTCAAGACTGATTTGGCCTCAGCATGGTATAGGTCTTTGACATCTGAAAATTTTGCTTCAACAAATGTTACCTCATTAGGCACTGGCCGGTCTGATAGATCACAATTAGTCTTATCAAATTCAAGTGGGTTTGAAGTGTGAAGAGGCTTCTCGAAAAGTGGCACTTGCGTACAGTTGGGTATTTTTAAAGTTTGATTTGGAGCGTTCAGCCAATTATTACGTATGTTTTTCAACAAATGAACCTGGTCAAACAGGAGAAACAGAGGTCTACTCGGATCGTATGGATTTGGTATCTGAGTCTTCATAACACCATCACACAAGAGGTCAAACATTTTCTTGTTGACTTGGTTGTTGTCAGCAATGGCACATAGAACGAAGAATCCTACTTCGACCATCAACTTTAAAACGGCCCGTATTAACTTCAACAAAATTTCTGCATCCAAGTTTCGTACCGGAAAAAGAGCAACGACATCCTTATTTTTGGACTGTAAGGATGATGACATAAAAGCCTGGATGGTTCCAGCAGTGAGATCAGAGGAGGTGTTGGCACCATGTTCAGCAATGCCGTAAACTTTTCCAGCTTTATAAACAAGCTTTGAGTTAGTGTAAATTTCATCAAGTTGTAAATTTACAACTTTATCTTCCTCTGAGAGTAATTTAAATTTTTCTATCAGAAAAGCCCTTTGAGTTGGTCCTATCCCGCAACCGTCATTTCCAATTTTGCAGAGGAGTTTTCGCAGGTACCTTTGGTGGGGGAGTGTCAATTGCTGCGTGGCTCGCATTGACTTGTAAGCTCCGGGGAAAGTGTAAAAAATTGCAGCAGCCCACTTAAGCATTTCCGGTGAGTAGCGTATATTGGTAGCTACAGCTAACTTTAACTGCTCAACCAGGAAATTAAGTTTTGCTGCCCTTTCAGTTTCACTATCAGCAACTGGCTCAGACCATACCACTGCATCAGATATTTTTTCTGCAAAACAAATTACTTTCTCTTTGAGGGGCCTTACATCTCTCTGTGGTAACATTTGAATCAATGAATCAAATTTTGACCAACGATCACATTTCAGATTCGGGCCAAGACAAGACTTGAACATTTCTCCTGGTAGCTCAGCAAAATTATTAAAAACTTTCACAGTCAATTCCTTAGAAATTTTTGCACAGATGATGAATGGCACTGTATCAAATTCATCATCTTCTGCTTTAATGAGAATAATATAACCAGGGTGTAATATTGACTTTAAAGATTCGTTCCTCTTTGAAAGACCCTCCTTTAATTTTTCAAAGCTAGGGATTATGTCTTTCTCCTCTTGTAGCTGGAAATTTCTTTTCAATTGAACTTGAGCCATGTCTTGCTCTCGCTCTGCAGGATCTTTTCTTCGTTTAGCAGGGACAGTTGATCGGTATATGGGTTGGTTGGGAAAGATTGAGGGATAAGCATCGTCAGTCAATTTTGGTCTCTGTCTCTCAACTCGAATGATAGAGCCCTCTTTGCTCTTGAACTCATCATGCGTCACAACAAACTGAGGATGGAAGTGGATCATGCATACTACAGAACTTTTGGTAGGCGTAAAGCTATCCCTACTGAGAGCACTCAACCATTTTGCATGACGCTCTGGCTCTTTGGCAGGATCAGGGAATTTAAAGGTTGAGACATCAGGACCAGAGGAGCTTGCATAATTAGATTTGCAGCCAGGCACACAGCAGCATCTACCCATTGCTCTAAATTGCACAATTGTCTAGTTCAGCAAAAGCAGCAGCAAAATAGAAATATCACAGAAGCTAACGCTTACTTAAGTACCATATAAAATCCAAGGCATTATAAAAAAGAAAATCCATGCCATAAAATTAGGTAATAACGGATCAAAACTAGCACACACCTTAAAATCAATAAGATTAAGATTCTTACAATTCCAAGGAACGATCCAGTTCGCACGCTGAAGTGTAGAAGGCATCATCGTAGATAATGTGAAGTAAATTAAAGCTGTTTCATTGCACTCAAAGTGCAGTTGAGTGCGCTCAGAGTGCAGTGAAACTAAGAGGTCTGAAAGACTCAAACTTAATTTTACTTCATATTTGATTATTAGGAGATCAAAGGCAAGCATTGATGGTCCCTCTGTTACGATAAAATAAGCCATCTTACCACAGCTGCTACTTCACAAGACACACACAGCAGTTCGCCCCTTGGTTTTGCACGAAATTATTTGAGAAACTTCTTAGGAAGCTTTAATGATCCACACAAAAATTAACACATTAAGTCGCGGGAGGAAACACGAAGCTTTTCCTGAAAAAAACACTCATTCAAACACATGGAGAAGAACCGTCCGATCACTTAGGGAATACGAGGAGAAATTGAACCGATAAAACTCATTAAAACGTTGAAAATCTCACCAAGAGTGAGGCTTATGGCACAGAATCGATTTCTGCCAGAAAAAAACTGATTTAACTTGAATTCAACAAGAAAACTCGCGATTTCGCACTCTTAACCCGTTAGCACTAACGTAAACACATTGCGGAAACCGATTTACTAACGACATAACCTCAATCTGGGCGTGACCAGGTATGGTCGAGAAGGTATTGGTTTCTCGCGAGCTTTTACATAAGAATCAACAGTCAAATCGCAATTTCCTCACATTTGCAACATCTCCATTTCTCCGTGCAAATCAGTGGCGTGGCGTGAATTGCGATATATCGATCGATCTGTCATTTAAACCTATGGAAAAAGATCGATAGATAAGGTGTTCGCAGTGAACACCTTAATAATCGATTCTTTACCATAGGTTTAAATGGCATAACAATCGATATATCGCAATCCACGCCACGCCACTGGTGCAAATAATAAAATGGCGGCAGACATTTTGAAATGACGCAAGATACTCGTGATACTTAGGCCGGAGGGTAACTTTAGTTGCGATTATTTCTGGTTGTGCCAATCGCTCAACTGAACGTATTTATGCTGAAAAGAACTATGTTGCACGTAAAGCCTGTGCATATAGTTCTTTTTAGCATAAATACGTACAACTCAAAGTGAATTTTAGGGCGAAATCAATCGATTCCCAGAGGATGAGCACCGCAATTCCGGTGAATAGGTGTCTCTGAAAGGGAATTTGCCCAACAAGTGACTGACTTGCGACTTGGAAAACAGACCCCAAGCAGTGGCGTGGCGTGAATAATCGATTATAGGTATCTCGCCATTTGAAGCTATGGTAAAGAATCGATTACTAAGGTGTTCGCTGCGAACACCCTAATTATCGATCTTTTTTCATAGGTTTAAATGGCATAACAATCGATATATCCCCAAGCGAGACGTGATTCGGAGCCGCTTGCAGGCGGGGGTGGGTTTTTCTCGTCGAGATGGGGATGAGTGGTTGGATGAGGTGGTTGGTGGGGAGGGGCATCAGACAATTGCACCTGCCGCCTTCAATTCCGCGGTATGCAAAGATACGCGCACGGGGAAACTGAAGCAGGGGTTCCACTTTTTTTACTACTAAAGAGTTGCCACGTGTGGCGCTTCGAGGGGTTTCAAAGTCTTACTGGAGACGAACTCAAAAGAAAGGAGGTATACACAAGTAGCACAGATTGCATTAAATTGCAGTTTTACGGTGCAAGTGTCGCTACTTCATGGGAATGTTGTGTTTGTTGCCTATCTATCGATTGAAGGAACACTTTTTATTGAAATTTATTGTGATAAAAGTAAAATAGGTAAGCTAAAATTTTCATTACATTGCAAATTGCCTATCTTTTTGACACATGAAACTCATTTTCTTGATTACTTAGAGTTGCCATGTGTGGCGCTTTAAAATGTTTCAAAGTTTTACTGGAGACGAATTCAGAAGAAAGGAGGTATACCCAAGTTGCAAAGATTGCATTAAATTGCAATTCCATGGTGAAAGTGTTGCTACTGCATTGGAATGTTGTGTATGCTGCCTACCTATCGATTGAAGGGACGCTTTTTATTGAAAATTATTGCGATAAAGTTAAAAAAGGTAAGTTACAAATTATTATCGCATTGAAAATTGCCTATCTTTCTGACACATGAAACTCAGAGGAGAGGAAGTATACCCAAGTAGCACAGATTGCATTAAATTGCAATTTTATGATTTTTATGGTGAAAGTGTTGCTACTGCATTAGAGTGTTGTGTAGGTTGCCTATCTATTGATTGAAGGAGCACTTCTTATTGAAATTTATTGCGATAAAATTGAAGTAGGGAGCTACAATTTTCATCGTATTGCAAATTGCCTATCTTTTTGACTCATTAAACTCATTTTCTTGATTACTTAAAATAGGTACGAGTATTTATAGCTCAACTCATCATACTATACAGGGTGTCCGGAATTGCACGTCCTTAACTTTCAGGATCAATTTTTCGGCTTAAAATATGACTTTCCTTTCCGTATACGCATGCCCGAAAACGCTTCATAAGTGAGCTATGTGCCTCCAAAGTTGCCATTTATTTTTCTTTCAAATTGATGTTACTCCTCAATATTTTGTTTTAAGTAGCTAAGACTTGTCGGAGGCAGATATTCTCTACCGTACTGTTCATTTTTTGTGTTTTCAAGGACGCACGTCTTCGGAAAATGGCGTTACAAGCGTTCCCGAATTTTAAAATTGCGATAACTTTTTTGGCAGATGATATTTGAAAAAACGGATGATGGCACGTGAAAGAGCGCGAAAAATCAAGGGCAGAACGTAATGTACAAAATTTCCCAGAATCGCGTCATTTCGACGCGACAGAGCTTTGAGAAAGTTTCAGATTTTCGAAACTTTTTGCTGCGTAGGCATTTTTATTGCAGGGACTAGGGACTGTGAGAAACATTGCCTACAGAGCAAGGGGCTTTGAAAATCCGAAAAACCGTCGCGATAACTTCGGGGTTTTGCTCAAATGTGCGATTGCGATTGGAAGAAATCCGATCCTGTTGAGTCGTGGCAATTAAACCATTTCTGACATTCCGAGCGACACCGTAACGATAATCTTAATTCCTCAGGAAAAAGAGAAAAACCATTTTGGTTCCCAAATAATCCCTGATGGCTTCTGAATTTTCAACATGCTGTCCAAGACAATGACTCCTAAAGATTCTGACGAAATTGAAACACCGAACCTAACTTGACTAATTTTTTGTTTTAAACCAGCGAAACTAAGGGTGGTTCCATGATAACTGGAACAGTTTTGTCGCCGTAAAAGATAACACATTTTTCGGTCATATTTTTAGTAGTAATGATAATCACTCGATTTTTTTTTTTTTGCATTAATCTACACAGGGTTACGTGTTATAACGTTTTCCAAAGATGTATTGCTCAACTTTTCAATTTTTATATGTCAATGGCGGAAATGCGCTGTCTGTTAGGCTGAATTTTCACCACATAACAGACAGCACATTTTCGGAATTCACATAATATTAATTGAGAAGTAGAGCAATAAATCATTCGAAAGCGTTATAATACGTAACCCTTCATAGATTAATGCGAACAAATTTATTATTGACTTATTAATTAAATTATATTACACATATTAACCTATTAAATTATATTAATTAAAATTTATTTTTGACTCTAATTTTAATTTTTGGTATTTCTTGGCTTTGTTTCCCCGCGAAATGGTGTGGACCCAGCGCCATTTTTCCACCTTGAAAAAATTCGAATTAATCATTTTTGCCAGAAATATGACCGAAAAGTGTATTATCTGCTACGGCGACAAAACTATTCCAGTTATCGTGAAACCACCCTTAAACTTAACGCAGATTAGAAGTTCTCAAAAATGTAAAAAAAAAAAAAAAAAAATAAATAAAATAAAAGTTTCAGGGACCATTTTCTGAGAAAAATCGGCAACGGTGAAAAATGCGCTCGTAGTTTAAGTATATTGTTGCGCTCCCATAAAAGTTCTATTCTGGGTTTGAGGCGCGGGAATGAATGGCGCGGAAACGTAGTCGGGCACAATGCAGAATTGATTAAAAATTCCGCGAGGTTTCCGCGGGGAAAACGGGCTCAAAGCGCATCGGCTCGGCCCCTCCTTTCAAACTTTTATTTATCCCGGACCTGTTGCTTGTTCGTCAGCGCGTGCCTTCCCAGCGGGCTGATTATTGAAATTGATAGACGAAGCGATAGACAAAGGGAAATTGGAGCGATCGAAGAGCTCGTCTCTAAATGGGTCAGCGGGCCGATTATTGAAATTGATAGATAAAGCAATAGACAAAAAAGACACAAGGAGTATAAAGCAATCCTATTGGTTGAAATGGGTGGTAACTATAGACTAAGGGAGAAAATGATGGACTAACTATCGGGTCTCTCGTGGATTGCCGTCAGTTAGTCTATCACCTAGTCCTTTGTCCATTGCAACCACCCTCTTCCACCAATCGGATCCCTCGATATCTCTTTTGTCTCCTTTGTCTATTGCTTTGTCTATCAATTTCAATAATCACCATATTTATCCCGGACCTGTTGCTTGTTCAGCAACGCGTGCCTTCCCAGCGGGCTGATTATTGAAATTGATAGACAAAGTGATGGACAAAGGGAATTTGGAGCCATCGAAGAGATCGTCTCTAAGTGGGTTAGGTGCACTGGTCGAAAAATCCACTGGAAAAAAGGTCGATTGGATCTAGAGTCCAGAATCTTAATGACATTGACAAGAAAAAATACTCTTTATTAGATTCGATTTTTCCTTGAATCGAAGAGCGCGGCCTCTTGATTTAAGCGGATTTCCTTTTGATTCAAGGAAAAGTTCGATTGAATCAAGAGTATTTTTGCTTGTCAATGTTTTTTGGAGTGTGGAGTAAAGTGCAATTTACGAGGGAAAATTTGGCAATTTAATGGGACACTTTCTTCATCTCCACCAGTTGCGTGGCGTGCTTTGCGATATATTGATTGATTTATCATTTGAACCCATGGAAAAGGATCCATTCACAGGGTGTTCGCAACGAACACCTTAATAATCGATTCTTTACCACGGATTCAAATGGGGAAATATCGATAGTCGATCATTCACGCCACGCCACTGATCCCCACATGCCTCAGAGTAATCTTACAGACTCCGTCAATTTAACCAAAACTTTGGTCAATTAACCGAGGCCTCTGGATGGTTAGGCCGATAAAAAGTAACTTAAAGTAACTATAAACACGGAACTTTTTAACTCTGTGAAGAGTAGTTGGTTTCTGCAAAAATAATTCAATTCTTTTAACCGTGGACGAATTTGATTGCATTTTGCATTCAGGAGCCACCATCTCTGGCTCTTCCATAAAAGCGCATGCATGCATAGGGAAACCAACAACAGGTATGTTGTTTGTAAAATGGGCCAGAAATAGTGGTTCCTCACTGCAAAATGGGCGTATGTATGCTAAACTATGTGCATAGAGATTGCGTGTGACATAGTTCCTTTTAGCATGAATATGTTCAAATGTAATCCAATTTTTTCACTGCCTTTATTTTTCTCAGAGCATAGGTTCGCCAATCTTGGACTAGCTACGTCATAACTGAACCTCCTCGCTGAAAGACGCGGCGAATTCGGCTATTTATAATCTCGGGTTCTCTTTCGGATGATGATAAATATTCCCGAAATTCGTAGCCGACTTAAAAATA